TAAAATATTGATTAGAAACAGGGAGAGGAAGCATCCTTATGTTGTCTCAGGGGAAATACCTCCAGTCTTTTGTCATTAAGTATGCTAATTGTGGGGGGATTTTTAGATGCTTTATCAGGGTGAAGAAGTTCCCTTCTCTTCCTAGTTTGTTGAGAATTTTTTTTTGTGAAAGGATATAATTACATTTTGTCAAGTGCTTTTGGTTTTTCGACATTGAGTGAAGTTGATTATGTGATAGTTTGTAAATCTTTTATTTAGGAATAAATCCAATTTAGGCTTGAAGTTATAAAAAGGGATATTTATTGGCTCACTATTTGGCTCACTTAACTGAAAAAGTTCTTATCTAGGGGTATAATTTGGTCTTATTGTCGTGTTCAAAACTGCCATCTGGATGTGCTTCCTTTTCCTGCCTCCCTCAGGTCCTCCCATTCCCTCAGTGGGTGAACCGTATTTTGGTCCCGTGTGGCAGCAGAATGACTGCTGGCAGCTCCAGCAAACATCTCCAAGACCATAGCAAAAAGAGGCAGTCTCCGCTTCTTTCCGCCTTTCTCCAGACCCAGCCTAAGTCCCTGGTTTATCTCTGGTTGGCTCACTTGCCTGCTGCTGAGTGTATCATTGAGGACAGGGGCTGTGAAGTTCCATCTCTGCCTGAATCACATGCCCCACCCGGCGCCAGTCAGCGCCTCTCACCCCCCAACCCCCAACAAGCTACATGGATAGAGTGTGGAGAAGTTCAGTGACAGAGATGTAGAACATGGATACCAGGTTGCCAAAAATAAATGTCCACTATACCTTCTATAGTGAAATAATATAGTGCAATGTGAAATTGGCATTTAAATACTTTTATTTCCCTACCTCATTCCTGGCAGAGGTAACTTCTATAAGCTAAAACCTTTGTTTGCTCATTGAAATTTCTTGTCTAACCCCTGCAAGCAGAGAGTTTGGCTGACACCACAGTCCATCTCCAATAGAGAATGGCCAAAAGGGTGGGGGGTGGGGGGGGGGGCGGCTACTGGGGTTGGACTAGGAGATTAATCCAATGGTAATCTAAGGGATCAAGGACTGGTTACACCCACAGTTTTCATCTGCTTGTTTGTCACCTTGAATATTTTTTCTTTAAAAAAACAGATACAATAGTATAAATAATTGTGTATGTATTATATATATATGTATGTATGCATGTATTTGTAATATATGAAGAGATTATTTTTTTTAAGTATTTCTTTTTTTTTTAATTTTTTAACATTTATTTATTTTTGAGGGACAGAGAGACAGAGCGTGAGCAGGGGTGAGGCAGAGAGAGAGGGAGACACAGAAACCAAAGCAGGCTCCAGGCTCTGAGCTGGCTGTCAGCACAGAGCCCGATGTGGGGCTCGAATTCACGAACCGCAAGATCATGACCTGAGCTAAAGTCGGCCGCTTAACCGACTGAGCCACCCAGGCGCCCCTATATGAAGACTCTTATTATAAGAATTGGCACGTGCAGTTATGGAAAATGAGAAGTCCCATGATCTGCTGTCAGCAAGCTGGAGAACCAAGAAAGCTGGTGATGCAGTTCGGCCTCAGTTCAAAGGCCTGAGAACTGGGGAGATGGATGGTGTTAAGTCCAGATCTGAGTCTACAGTCCTGAGGGCACCAGTGTCCCAGGGCAGGAGAAGTTGGATGTGTCATCTAGAAGAGAGAGCAGATTCTACATTCCTCTGCCTTTTTGTTCTACTCAGGCCCTCAGTGGGTTGGATGATACTCACCTGCATTGATGAGGGCACTCAACTCAGTCTGCTGATTCAAATGCTAATATCTACCGGAGACTCCCTCACAGACAAACTTAGAAAAAAGTGTTTTACCAGCTATCTGGGGATCCCTTAGCCCATCAAGTTGAAATATGAAATCATCACATCAGTCAAAGTAACTGCAGATTAATTTGAAACAGGAAGCGGATTAATGGCCTCTTCATTCTCATACAGTTATTTCTGAGGTGTACCTGAGCTTCCTGGGAAATGGACATTGCGGAAGAGCAGTGCGTCGCAGCCCTCCTCTGGACTCCTCTTTGCTCTGCCTCTAAATTTCATATAACAGGAATGAGACTTCTGTGCTCTCTTAATGTGCCTTCTGAATTCCAGTAACTTTATGCTTTAAAGGAAAGTTATTTTTGGTCATGGTTTTTTTTTTTTTTTTAAATGTTTTATTTATTTCTAGGAGAGAGAGAGACAGCGTGAGCAGGGGAGGGTCAGAGAGAGAGGGAGTGACAGACTGAAATAGGCTCCAGGCTCTGAGCTGGCAGTCAGCACAGAGCCCGACGCGGGGCTCGAACCCACGAACCGCGAGATCATGACCTAAGCGAAAGTCGGACACTTAACCGACTAAGCCACCCAGGTGCCCCTGGTCATGGTTTTTATAGTTACAAACTACAGGATAAAATAACAATATATAGAACTTCCCCTAGTATAATTATAACTTCTAGGCAAATATAGAACCTGTTACAGGGAAGGTGCTGTTTCAGTTGCTATTACGATTCACCAGCAACTTTCAAAACCTAACTGCAGCTGTGCTTTGTGTGTGTGTTGGGGGAGAGGGGGAGCTGTTCCACTTTTTTCACATTACTATAAGATAAACCTAGTTTAGTGCCACAGGTTTTCGATTTGTAGACATTTTTTTCACATTTCAGCAGCTGAAATCAGGAAGCAGAATCAGCGCCATGCCATTTGATTAATGGCCAAAATTGATTAATTTTCTTGTGTTAAACAAAATAATAGTATGTCTTAAAATTGATGGTGTGTGATGATTAATTTTATTTTTTTTTTAAAAATGTAAATCCAAGTTAGTTAACATATGATGTGATGATTAATTTCATGTGTCAGTGTGCCTGGGCCACGAGGTGCCTGGACATTTGGCCAAACATCTTTCTGGGTGTGTCTGTGAATGTGTTTCTAGATGAGATTGACTTTGGAATTGGTAGACTGAGTTGATCGCCTTCCCCAATATGAGTGGCTCTCATCTAATCAATCAATGACCTAAATAGAATAAAAAGGCTGAGAAAGGAGGACTTCTTCCTGCTTGACTGAGCTGGGACACTGGTCTTTTCCTGCTTTCTGACCTGGTTGGAAGCACAGCCCTTCTTGGGTCTCAGGCCTCTTGGTTTGTGTGAATCAGTCATAGGACATTTGTACCTAATCAGCTCCTAGGGCTCTGCTCAAAGCTTTTACTGGCCTTCTCTCTGCCTCAGCCCCACAGAAGTCTCATGAGAAAAATGTATCCGTAAAGGGCGATGGCATTTCAGAGAAAGAAAAATATATATCTGACTGAGGAGACTGACAAGGTTTATGCAGAAATAGTCAGAGATGACATTTTAGAAAGAAGATCCAGCTCAGGCAAAAGCCCAGAAGCAGGAATATAGCAAATACGTTTGGGTTGCCTGGAATATAAATTGGTAAGAGGACTAGATAAGATGTATATTTCAACCAAATATGGTTTGTCTCCTGAAATTCTCCAAAGTAAAAGTCGTTAAGCCCTTGGATGTTTTAAGATTATTTCATTACAGTGGATCAGTACTAAGTACTAAGTAATAAGTCAGTTACCTTCTCCTAGGCTCATATGCGCGCCCCCCCCCCCCCCCCCCCCCCCCCCCCCCCCCGGCTTATTTGCACTCTGTAACTCTCTCTGACATTTAAAAGGCTGCAGGACACAGAATTGGAAGAGCACCTGGTCCTGGGGCCCCAAACAGACCAGGATCAGCCATTCACTGCTGACAAAATCCAAAGACAGAGATGAGTAGTGGTGACACAAGAAATTTATTTCAGTGAGGCCCACACTGGGAAGACAGTGGACTGGTATCTCAAAGACTGTCTCCATAGTGCTGAAAATACTTGTGGGTTTCTTACATAAGGAAAATGTGGAGGAAAGGTCGGTGGGTACCTGTGCTGGGCAGTGCAAGTCAGGTCAGTCACTATCTTGGGGTCATTCGCACAGTGTCTTGCTGGAGTCAGGGCAGTAGTCAGTTGCTTGAGGAAGTAGTTTCAGTTCCCATCACCGGAGGCTTTGCCCGTGTTAGTGTTTTACCTGAGTTAAGAGATAAGCTAGAAAGAACTTAATCAGAAAGTACCGACTGACTGAGCTCAAAATGGAGGTGGTTGAAGTCCTCTTTCAGAGCAATATAACCTTTGCCTTATTTCTAAGTTTGGGATAATTTTTCTTAACCATCTGAGAGGAAAGCATTATGAAAATGATCATGTTCATGGGATGCCTGGGTAGTTCACTTGGGTTAAGGATCGGACTTTGACTCAGGTCATGATCTCATGGTCCATGAATTGAAGCCCCTCGCGTCAGGTTGTGTACTGACAGCTCAGAGCCTCAAGCCTACTTGTGCTCTGCCTATATCTCTCTATAAACATTTAAAAATAAATAAATACCAAAAAAATGATAATGTTCAGGAAACAGTCTTTTATCTTAAAAAAATTAAAAATCATGGGTGCCAGGTTGGCTCAGTTGGTTGAGTGTCCGACTTCGACTTTGGCTCAGGTTATGATCTCACAGTTCATAGGTTCAAGCCCCACATCAGGCTCTGTGCTGACACCTGGAGCCTGCTTCAGATTCTGCCTTCCCTGTGCTTGCTCGCTGTCTCTCTCTTTTTCTCAAAAATAAACATTAAAATAAATTTTTAAAATCAGAGATTACTAGTTCTTTATTAGTGGAAAAAGGGAATAAAAGTCATTGGTAACCCTATTAACTTGAGAATCATGACTATATTTCTGATCCTTGCAGACTTCGTCTATACGTTATGTGACTAAAAATATATGGCCCTATGGGAGTTTGTTTCTAATTTTAAAAATGAGACCATGCATACTGGTATTTTCTAACCTATTTCTTTCCCTTAGAATTTCTCCTGGAATTTAAGCTCCTTGGAGCTGGGACCCAGCTTCCTTTATCAGGTCCCGTTCCTGTGTCCTGGGAGGCACCTCACATGCAGGCTGTAATTGAGACCGTGCTCTTGCTTTTGTTTTCAGGTTGGCAGCCTCGATGGTTCCTTCTCTGTGGGGGGATATTGTCCTACTATGATTCTCCTGAAGATGCCTGGAAAGGTTGCAAAGGGAGCATCCAAATGGCGGTCTGTGAAATCCAAGGTGAGAAAACAACGCATTTCTAAGTTTTCTTTTTCTTTGTCTCCCCCTCAAAATAAAAAAAAGACTGGCCTCTGCATACCTTTCTCTGCTGTTTTCTGTAGTACAAAGATACGTAGTGGTGTGTCCCAAAAGAAAGCTTTACAAATAAATAAGCCTTACAAATAAGACCAAAACTGCAGACAGTTTTTACAGGGAGGTTGTTTAAAAGGTATCAAAATAAATGAGAGCAGTGCGCTTCACCACACATCTAGTGCTCATTCTTTATTCACTGGCTCACCTGAAACCAGGGACTATTTTCAAAGTTTATGTAAGTCATTTTACTGCAGCATCAGTAAACATCAAACACTTCTTATGTATAAATCAGGACACACACACACACACACACACACACCTTCTCACCACCACCTCATTACTTAAAATAAGCAAATGCATAAAGAGCTGCAAATAGCCTTTACTTCTTGGTTTGGGGACATCTTGAGACATGCTGAGAAGATGAGACTCCAAAACAGAAGAATATTTTGAGGGTGAGGTAGGGGCTGAAAGAGAGTGTGGTTTACTTATTTCTTCTCCTGAATGTCTCCGAGGTAATTTTCACTCTTTTGTTCTAACTTGTGAAGGACAGTAGGAAAGGAAAAATAGAGTGTTCTTGATTGCTTTCCAATAAACACAAGAGGATCCAGAGGCACACTCTTCCTTACTGGCATGCAAGCCTTTATGGCCTCAGAGCAACACACCTTACACACACAAAACAAAAGAAAGATGCTATTTCTATTCTGATAAGGAGAATTGATTGCTTCTTTTTTAGTCTTGGCGATACCTTGGAGCCAGGCAGCGTTTTTCCTTTTCATCAGCAGAGGCATCTAGGAAGAGAGAAATAAACTAAGGGAGGTGGTATTGGCTGGCATCCTCCCTAGGAAGAAGCCTTTAATGATCGGCATCAGTTGAGCTCAAGAATTGGGTGGGGTGGGGCACCAACTAGAGCTCTAAGTTTCTTTTATCTTTAATTTTTTTTTTAACGTTTATTCTTAGAGAGAGAGAGAGAGAGAGACAGCACGAGCGGAGGAGGGGCAGAATGAGAGAGGGACACAGGGAATCTAAAGTGGGCTCCAGGCTCTGAGGTGTCTGCACAGAGCCTGACACGGGGCTTGAACCCACAAGTGGCGAGATCATGACCTGAGCCAAAGTCAGACGCTTAACCAACTGAGCCACCAGGCACCCCCTACTCTTTTAAGTTTCTGACCTCCTCCTGCCTTGCTCCCAGTTCATTCTGTAGATAACACACGCATGGACCTGATAATCCCTGGAGAGCAGTATTTCTACCTGAAGGCCAGAAGTGTGGCTGAGAGACAGCGGTGGCTGGTAGCCCTGGGGTCAGCCAAGGCTTGCCTGACAGACAGTAGGACCCAGAAGGAAAAAGGCAAGTATTGACTGTCCTGTAGTCTGGGAACCTTGGGAATCATCCACTGGCATCTGTGGGTTCCCATATTTGTATCTTGCCTATGACCACCTAGCCAGCTTTTTGTATCCTACAAATGCCATATTTCTCTGGAATTTAAACCACGATTTGCATCTAACTCCTCTCTCTCAGCATCTCATAGAATGAGTACAGGCTTTGGAGCCAAGAACAGCTGGATTCAAATCATGGCTTTGTAGGTATTTGCTTTTGACCTTGGGCATAGGTCACTTAATCTCTCTGATTCTCAGCTTCCTCATATTTTAAAAAGACATGAAAACCTACATTGGAAGGATTGCCATAGGATTCATAATTATACAAAACTGTCTAGTTCCCAGTCTGGCACAGAGTTGACCTTTGGTAAAGAATAGCTGAGCCTTGGATCAGAATGCTTTCTGAGTTAGACCCCACTTCTCCCCCTTTCCCTGGCGTGGGATGGATACTCACTTGTCAGGTTGCTGCTGCTTAATGCTCATTGACTTGACATCATTAGGACTACTGAGAACCATGGCACAACTTTCTATGTGGACTGTGGGAAGAGTGCCAGGGCTTACTGCCTGAGCCCTAACCACCACCTTCCCAGCCCCCTCCCCGTATATATACACCTGAAGAGATTGGCGGAGATTGGGGGGAGGGGTTGCTCATGGCAGGTGTGGCAGATGTGCTTAACTCTTGAAGTGTACTCATTCAAGTACAATGGCCTCTTCCTTGGTTTTTCTTTAATGCTAAATCAAGAGCAAATTCTAGATACCGTGAGCTTTGACTCAGATCAGGTTGTAACATGCAGCTTTTTTTCATGGGACAAAAAGCAGGTGATAATGACTACCTGATCCCTCAGCGCCAGAGCAGCTGGTGCTGTGCTAATGAGGGTGCAGCAGGTGCACAGAGGGTGCCATTAGCCTTGACAAATGGCATGCTGACCCAGTTCTATGAATTAACCAAGCCATCTTATTAGTGGTAATTGCACGTTACAGAACAGTTTCCCAGTTTTGAGTACTGTTAGCAGGTAGATGGCTATGACCCCATTTTACAGATGGGAAAACTGTGTAGCAGATGAGACCAAAACTCCGAACTCTTGACTCTGCTCCCAGTTCTGACATGAAGGGATAAAAGGTATGCTGTATCTTTCTTCCTGTACAGGTGATCATTCAGTAGTACATTGGCCCAACAAATAATATAGATTACAAAAGACCAGAAATCTCTTTTTTTCTGTTTTTCTTGCCCCCATACCTTCACATACATCCTATCTGTAACCCATACCATAAACATCTGACTTTATTATTTTTTTAATGTTTTATTTATTTCTGAGAGAGAGAGAGAGAGAGAGACAGTGTGAGCAGGGGAGGGTCAGAGAGAAAGGGAAATACAGAATCCAAAGCAGACTCCAGGCTCTGAGCTGACTGTCCTCACAGAGCCCGACACGGGGCTCGAACCCATGAACCGTGAGATATGACCTGAGCCGAAGTCAGACACTCAACCGACTGAGCCATCCAGGTGCCCCATAAACATCTGACTTTAGATACAGGTTCTATATTCCACTCAATGGTATGCTAACTAGTAAATCGCTTATTCATCCTGGTAATTACATTATCATCATTTTGTTATTTAGAGTTTGCTGAAAACACTGAAAACTTGAAAACCAAAATGTCGGAACTAAGACTCTACTGTGACCTCCTTGTTCAGCAAGTAGATAAAACAAAAGAAGCGACCACAATTGGTGTGTCCAATTCTGAGGTAAAATATTACTTATCTTAGCCACATGAAAAGTAGTGCCAGATACTGCTTACAGGTAATGCTTAACTCTCACACAGTCCCTGACTATTTTGGAATTTACTATTTTTCAGAGGAAAAAAGTAACAAAATTCAACAGAGAAGAAATGTGTGCATTTCAGTATATATTTTTCCTTCACAGAATGAATTCAGGATTAATTGATACCATTTGGAACCTTTAACATTGTGCTGGTGTACTAAAACATGCTTCTCCTTGCATCCCTTTTTAAAATACGGCCTTACTGGTCTAGCACAGCTACCTCTATAGGTGTGGCTGCTAATGTGCCAGCATCATGTTTTTCAGTAATGTGTATCTGTCACCTTTGATGAGACTAACAAGATTTGATTTGATTTTGTGTAAGCTCTGTACCCAACATGGGGCTTGAACTCATGGAGATGAAGAGTTGCATGCTCTGCGGACTAAGCCAGCCAGGCACCCCTGTAACAGGATTTTATTGGTGAAATAGTAATTGTGCTTTAGGATAGACTCATGCTTTCAAAGATGGAGACACAGCTTTTTTTTCTGTCCATTTTTCAGTAAGGATTGTGATTTTTTAATGTTTAATAAAGCTGTCATTCATGCATTCTAAAAATACATTAAAAGATCTGTCTGGTGTTAAGTTGTGTATTGAATGGCTCACACTACCCACAGAGGGTCTCTGTTCTACTCTCAGAGTAGCAATAATCTGAACAACAATGCCTACAAAAATGAAGAACCTGTAGGTTCTAATTAATGGTTTTAGTAGAACATTATGCTACTAGTAGTATATGTGCTTTCAGTTTTTCTAAATAAGGGTGATTTAACTCATTTTCATTCACTTCCTTTTGGGTTCTCCTATTCATTCAGCAACTGTCTGTCATATACCAGATGCTGTGCTGGGGGAGGGGAGAAGAGGGGTACCAAAAGAACATTTCAGTCCCGCTCTTGGGATGTCAGGAAATATTTCTGGTCGTCACAGCTGAAGGAGTGCTGTTGGCATCTACTGCATAGAGGCTGGGATGCTGCTTAACATCCTGCAGTGAGCAGGAGCACTCCCCCACCTTCTTCCCCCACTCCAGAATCAAGCCAGCCCCTCCTGTCAGTCGTGCCAAAGTAGGGAAGCCCTGGTCTAATGGGAAGGGAAAATGTGAACATAGCTATTTTTAATTCAAGGGTGCCTTGAGAACTTGCTCATGAAACTATGGTTGTGATATTGGAATTTATAATAAGAAATATATATTTGGTCTTTGTAAGAAGTATGTATTTGGCAGAGATCCTAAAACCCTTGAAATCTCCTGTGATGAGAATGATTGAGTTATCATTTGTTACATTAATGAGGTGACTTTTGGAACGTGCCTAAGCCAGAGGGCTGGTTGACCTAGGACCCAACCTATATGATAAGAGGGTTGGAACGGTTCAGACCCACTCACCCACCCCCACCTCATCTCCCGGGAAGGAAGAGGGGCTGAAGATTGAGGTTAATCCCAAGTGACCAATGATTTCATCAATGTGTCTATGAATGAAAGAACAGGATCCAGAGAGCCCCTGAGTTGGTGAACACATGAAAATTCAGGGAAGGTAATCAGAGAGCGTGGAAGTTCTGAGCCTGTTCCCAGGTGCCTTGCCCTATGCGTGTTTCTGAGTTATACCCTTTTCTAATAAACTGGCAATCCAGTGAGTGAAATGTTTCTCTGAGGTCTGTAAGCAGCTCTAGCAAATACATCAACTGAAAGGAGGGGGTGGAACCTCCAACCTATAGCAGGTCAGTCAGAAGCACAGGTGACAAGCTGGACTTGACATTGGTGTCTGAAGTGAGGGGTGGGGAGCAGCCCTATGGGACTGAGCCCTTAACCTGTGAAATCTGACACTTATCTTCAGGTAGATGGTGTCACGATGTAGTTGAATTGTAGACACCCACCTGCTGTCAAAGATTCACTTGGTGGTATGAGAAAGCCCATGCATGATAATCAGTGTCAGAATCCTAGTGGTCCAAAACCAGTAACATCACCTGCTAGCCTGTTAGAAATACAAAACTGAGGGAAATGTAGAGGCCACTCTTTTTTTTTTTTTTTAATAGTTTATTTATTTTCGAGACAGAGAGACAGAGCATGAGTGGGGGAGGGGCAGAGAGAGAGGGAGACACAGAATCCGAAACAGGCTCCAGGCACTGAGCTGTCAGCACAGAGCTTGATGCGGGGCTTGAACCCACAAACTGTGAGATCTGACCTGAGCCGAAGTCGGATGCTTAACCAACTGAGCCACCAAGGCACCCCTAGAGGCCACTCTTAGAGAAAAATTCAACTGAGTAAATTTTAAAAATCTTACTGACTTTATTTAGCAGCTCACGAATCAGGCAGCATCCCATCTAGCAGACAGAAAGGAGCTCTGAAAAGCTGTACAAGGCTCGAGATTTTTATAGACCAAAGTGAGCAGGAACAAGGAAGTTCTACTGGATATTTGCTTATTGGTTAAAGCAGGGTTAACTTTCCTCATGTGGAGCAAAGGGAAATTTTGGAGCTGGGTCAGGTAACTTGTGCTGATTGGTTGGCCCTAGGCCTGCATTGTCTAGGACAACCAGGCATAGAAACTGAAGTTTTTGGCTCTCTTTTTTTATTTTATTTTATTTTATTTTTTTAAATTTTTTTTTTAATGTTTTTTATTTATTTCTAGGAGAGAGAGAGACAGCGTGAGCAGGGGAGGGTCAGAGAGAGAGGGAGTCATAGACTGAAACAGGCTCCAGGCTCTGAGCTGGCAGTCAGCACAGAGCCCGAAGCGGGGCTCGAACCCAAGAACCGCGAGATCATGACCAGAGCGAAAGTCGGACGCTTAACCGACTAAGCCACCCGGGCGCCCTTTATTTTATTTTTTTTTAAATGTTTTATTTATTTTTTAGAGAGAGAGACAGTGTGAGCAGGGGAGGGTCAGAGAGAGAGGGAGACACAGAATGTGAAACAGGCTCCAGGCTCTGAGCTGGCTGTCAGCACAGAGCCCGACGTGGGGCTCGAACCTACTAACTGTGAGATCATGACCTGAGCCGAAGTCAGATGCTTAACCAACTGAGCCACCCAGGCACCCCTGAAGTTTTTGGCTCTCTAATGTGAGGCTTAGCATGAGAGACTCCATCTTGGGCCCAATCTAGTTTCTTTTATACCACTAAGATGTGTTTACTGTACTCTCTAGTCAGGGTGTGGCCTCACTTTCCTGAACAACTTACTAATATCAATATTCAGAGGAAAAACACCCTGAGCAAGTAAAATAACTGGGGGAAAAATGATGTTCAGTAGAATTACAGTTGCTAAAACCTCTCAAACTCATCTGTACTAAAAGCCAAAAACCCCATTTGAAAGCAAACAATGAATAATTTATGGTCTCTAATGCTTCTATTCTAGACCCTCATTTTTACTCAGGCAATGGGAGACATTTTTCCATTGATTAACACTGATCTTTAGTCTGTGTGATTCCCTGTTTCATGCCTGCCACCCCTTTACATAAGACTGGAGACTCCCTGAGGGCTCTGTGTCCAGCACCTGGCACAGTGGTAGCATCTAATACTATTGAATTGAAGGAATTTGTTGCCTTCATCTGGAGCAGGGAGTGTGAGTATGAAGGGTCAGACTGAAGATAAGGCTTGTCTATGGTTAGGAGATAAAATGGACTCACTTAGTATTTTTCTTTTGTAACTGATGTACATATTTGTCCAGCAAAATAGGTGGGTACATTATTGCTATGTTGTGGACAAAAGCCTTTTAAGGACATTCCACAGTTAGGCGCTTTCTTTTTTGGCAAAGTAAAGAAGTCCTCCACTCTCGTTTCGTAGGAGGGAATCGATGTGGGAACTCTGCTGAAATCAACCTGCAATACTTTCCTGAAGACTTTGGAAGAATGCATGCAGATCGCAAATGCAGCCTTCACCTCCGAACTGCTCTATCGCACTCCACCAGGTTCACCGCAGCTGGCTATGCTCAAGTCCAACAAGGTGAAGGCCAGCACAGGTTGGCTGCAGAAGGGCATGAAGAAAAGTTAAAAAGTGATATAGTGAACAGTGTTGTCCATCACCCTTTAGTGACTAAGAAAGACACTGTTTTAATAGACTTCCCTTTATATCTAGTTATATATTTCGGTCCTCAGACCCCCATATCCCTTTGTTTTGGTCAGTTATCTGATGTCTCTGATGTAGCTAGCCTCTTTTCAGCCTCCTTGTCCAGTGAATCTTGCCAAGATCGGTGGTTGCCTTCTAACTAGTTGCTTTCAGCCTGACCTTCCAGGCAGCTGACAATGTTTCCATTCATGCAGTATAAACTGGACCATTTTACCCTAAACCACTCCGTGCCTTCCTCTTTGCCAAAGGTTAAAGTCAGGACTTCTTAACCCCTTCCCACACTTCCAGCCTCTTTGTCATTACCTGGCTGACCATACTAACAACATATATCTCCCCTGACATCTTTGCACCATTTCCCAGGGCCAAGAATGCTGTTCTTTCTCACTTATCTTTCCCTGGTTAGCACTTCCTCATCCTTCAAGATTTAGTCTCTCCTTCCCTGAATCTCTAAATTGGGCTGTGAGCTCCTCCTCTCTGCAAGTCCCTGTTTTAGCATTACTCTGTATAGAAATTACCTTAAGGGTAGGAACCTCCATACTGTTTATACTTTTAGTATTCGGAACAATGCTGCATCATAATCTTAATTATGAGAATGCCAACCATGAAAGTTTCGCTATGTAATTAGATCCCTCAAAAGAGCCATCTTCCTTTTGCTTAGAAATTTGGGGATACTTCTTTGAAAAAATACAAAGGACTGGTTGAGATCAATGACTCCCTTTTGGGAACAATCTAAAATTGTTCCTGTTGAGGGAAGCAGTTATGTTGTGATCATATTTACCATTTTTACATGTGATAAGACTCTGAATATGCTCTGTTGGAAGTTTAACATACAGCTTTCATTTTTTTGCTTCTTTTAAAGATGAAACATCCTATTATACCGATTCATAATTCATTGGAAAGGTACAGTAACTCTTGGTTTTTTCTTCTTTCTAAAAATAAAAAATAGTTTTTTATTGTTTGTTTTAAAAAACTGAAAATATTTTGATCATGATTTGGGGTGGCACCAGAAAGAAACAGTATCAGATCTTCCAGTTTGGGCTGAGCTTGAAGCAATGCAGATCTTTCAGCACTGACTCCCCAGGAAGATGTTTGCATTTTCCCTCATCTGTGGATGAATCTGCCCTCCACAGGTTATAACTTTTCATCTCTCTAATGTGCCGAGGGTCGCAGCTGCCTGTCTCATGGAGGTGCCAGACATTGACTTCAGTGTACTTTCATCCAGAAAACACAGTATGATTTTGTGTTATTTAAAAGTAAAAATCTTAGGTAGCTTTACAGGTTGAATAAAAAAACTTAATATCAAAATCCAAACTGTTCCTCTAAATGTGCCTTCGATTTTAGGGAAAAAGTACCCATTTCCATAGTTGTTTAGAACTTTATTCAGTTATTTTATATAAGCATTCCTGTATTTTTACTTACTCCCTATATTTGTCATTTCAAGTTACTATTTAACATCTCATCTTTTTTGTATACTATTATTTGCTTTAGTACAAGGATTATTCCAATTTGGTTAACATTTTTTTTCTCGTTCTAGATATTTCTACTAAGAATATCTTTGTAGATTTTTGTGTGTGACATTTCCTTAATATCCTCTTACGTTTTTAATTGCTAAGTTGAAATACGGCATTTCTTTAGAAAATGAATACTTTTCCTGGAATCACCATATAGCTTGGCCCCTTTCCCTTTGTTTTTATTAGGAAATATCTTTGTTCTTACTTGGCTAGATCTAATCACTTACAATAAGATGTTATGGTTGTCCCTTTAACAGAATCAGCTGTTCCACTTGGCATGTTAAATACCTTTCCTGTTACCCCCAAAGGGCAGCCAGTGCTCAGGATGTATCCTGTGTTCTGGTGTTTTCTGTCAGACATAACTTTTTAGGGAGTATTCTCCTCTGACCACAGCATGTAGCTTCTCCACAGTTAACTGCTAGGAAATTGCATACGAGTGGCCAGTGATTTTGAGAGCTGAAGAGACAGAGAAAGCTTCCCAGGGAGAAGCTGAGAAAAGCTAGTAAACTGTTAAATGGGTCCATGTAGAAAACTGATTAAAAACCAAAGAGCTGTCAATGACTGTTTCCTGTTGCTGGTGGGGAGCAGGCAGTGTGAATGGGGAGAGGCCCCTGAGAAGCCCAGAGTGGGCTCTCTGATTTCAGACCTCCAGTTGGCAGACAGGCCTGCTCCCGTCACAGGCCTGCCTCGGAGGCAGGAGGCTGAGAGATACGCTGACTTAACAATAGTGGTTTCCAATCACTGCTAAAAGTAGTTGTTGCTTGTGAACTCGTACTCTCTTTCTTAAAGTAAGATCTAGCTGGGCAGCCTATTTAAGACCAAATAATTGGACTTTGTGGCTTTTTTCCTTATAAAAAATTTTCAGGCAAACGGAGTTAAACAATTGTGAAAATGGATCTTTACATATGGAAGTAAATGATGATGAAGAAATCCTAATGAAAAATAAGAGCTCCTTATATTTGAAACCTGCAGAGGCAGATTGCTGCATATCAAGTGAAGAAAATGCAGATGATAATGTAACAGGTAAAAACGAAAGTAAAGTCTGAAGCAAACCATCGAACGAACAGTAGGATCTCGGGAGTTTGATTCTTTATCCATGATGTGACACTTGATAGACATTCGCCTCAGACCTTAGCTGGCTAACACAGGTCACTGGACAACATTGTGCCGTCCCGTCTGACCCGGGGTTGGAAGGGCAGAATGAAGAGAGTTTTCACACTCACTGTTCTTACCTGTGACGTTTGTGGGCTGCAGCGAGCAGTGGTGAGCAGCAGCTGGCCCTGCTGACTTTTTAGAGAACATGAGTATTTCACTGGCCCCCTACTCTCAATCTCAAGATCCTTTGAACTTAAACTATGATGTCAGACTTAACAGAGTGTAAAGTTATGGCAGATCAGGTTGCTGCCCTCCTGGTTTCTGGTAAAGCCTGGGGATGTCACCATTCCCCCACCACCAGCAGGTTTTCACCCAGCCAGAGTCCCACACTTCAGGTCATAGCTTGTAGTTATGCCACCCTTTCAAATTTGCTGATTCCCTTGTCTCTGAACACTAAAACTAACTTCAGATCAGTTCAAGATACTTGTATTAGAGCTTTTAATTGTGTTGTGTTTAATAAATATTTTGAAAATAAAATTTTAAATAAGTTTCTTGCTCATCTCCCCCGAAATAAAAAAGACCCTGTTTTTTCCAGATGAATTGGGGACAGAGAAGGTGCATTTTCATAGCTAATAATCTGAGGCAAGCCATCCACACATTGCTGATGTCTTATGCCTTGAATAAATAATAAAGACAGGAGAGTTTCTATGGAAACAGTACTGTAGTTTACTTCACCCAATAATTTTACTTCTAGGAGTTTGTCTTCAGGGATAGTCAAGTTTAAGGACAGATATCTGTGGACGGGGATGTTCTTTATGACATTACAGTGATTCTCATTATTCATGGTTGTTAGTAAAGTCACTGCAGACACTGAATTAGTAAATACTGAACCGTTGCTCTCAGGGGAAATACTAAGTTAGGTTCCTACAAATGTCTATTCACATTTTGGTTGACTGATCAATGTGTATAGCCTCGTTTTATGTGTGTTTCTGTTTAAAGACACCTTACATAATATGTATTGTTGAGTCATCAACATTGAACCCATGGCCAATTTTTGTAATGGCAGTACGTCATTCGTGGCTGAATGAACTCACCTAACACATGTATGTTCTCCATCAGGCCCATCACAGCCTTCCTATGCTTAGGAATACTAGACAGCCCTGCACTTGGGGGCACTTGCAAACAGCACAATCAGTAACAAAATGCACAGAGCATGACCCCATATAAACACACTTATGTATGGTGTGAGAACTGCAGCAAGAAGGCAGATTGTCACCTTGGTTGGCCTCAGCAGGGAACCTGTGTATCAGGCACCTCAAATTTTTCATTACTGTACACATGTCTACGAATGACTGCAAAAGCGCCACAAGCGTTGGTTTTAGGATCACCAGTAAACTTTAGCAAGAAGACAAATTCACAAATACAGAATACACTGATAACGAGGATCGACTCTGTTTATAGACACTGAAATTTTAGAAGCCACCTAAGAGCCCTCCACGTGAGCCTGATGCAGCATTTATATGGTCATTAAAGTGGTGTTTTAAAAAGTATTGAATGATAATGAAAATACTCATGATGAACTGTTGAGTGAAAACATTTTTCAAAGCTACGTGTATTGAAACCCAAGTTTGTTCGTGTGTGTGTGTGTGTGTGTGTTTGTGTGTGTATGTGTATTATTTCACTGATTTTTATTTCTGTATATTTTTCTGTGTTTTAGAAATATTGAACCATGAATGTGTGTTAATTTTTATAATAAATAAGTAGTAGGCTAGTAATAAATATCTCCTGTTTGCAGCCCAAGGTGAGATCATGAAGGAAGAAGGAGAGGACAGCCTGGAAAACCTTGCCAGCAGCTTGGCACAGCCTGGATCAGACTCCTCAAGTAGCTCTCCAGAATCCTCATGGGAAGAAGGCCAAGAAGTTATCCCGACTTTCTTTAGTACCATGAATACCAGGTACTCCGTACTTCCTAAAATCACTGACTGCTGGACCCCAGCTCCCCTTCTGGAAAGTCAGTCCTGGCGCTCCTCTCAGATGATGGCGTACTGTAACAGAGTAGAGGAGATGGTGTACCATGGGTGTGCTTTTCTGCTTCCCCTGTCTGAATCCCCTTCCTGAAGAGAAGGAATTGGATTGTGAGGCTAACTCTGTGAACAAACTTTAGCTTGCTTTCCTAGACTGTCTTTGGAAAATGACTTTATTGTACGATTTTATAATAGAAAAACAATCACTGAAATCAAGCCAAATGACTTGCCCTACAGAGGGGCAGCTGTTTTCATGACTACCACTGAATTGCAGAAAGTGCTAATGTTGTATTTTCATTCTTTCCTCCTTGGTACCACCAAATTGTTTAGCTTTAGTGACATTGAACTTCTGGAAGACAGTGGCATTCCCACAGAAGCGTTCTTGGCATCATGTTATGCTGTGGTTCCAGTATTAGGTAAGGTTACTGCATTTGTCTTGAATTCATTAGTCTCTGGAATCTGTCTCACTGCTGTTATTTTGCAGTAGAAATATCCTGAACCGTATATACAATGAAGTGACCCTTCTTAGCTATCTCTGCATGTCACCAGCCACATACAGTTAAAACTGTATGACCTTAAGCATTATTACACATTTCCATTTTATTCCTACTTATGATCAAACATTGACCACAGAGTAGTGTAAGGAAAAAAGGGAATTTTGTGTTCCAGAAATCATATTTAAAAGCAAGAGTGGAAGTAGTTGAGGAACAGAACTTTAAATCCATGGGTACAATGAAGAACATTTTACCAGTTAAAACATTTTTTTTCAAAGACTTAAAAATTGTATGTATAAATTTAAGCCCAAATTTACTTTTTATATAGAGCCAGTAGAACCAGGAATCACTAACGTGTTGAAATGTGCCTCATGACCTACTTAGCTATGCATCTTTTTTAATTCACCTTTTGAAATTTTATGTATCTTTTTTGAAATTGAGATATAACTTAAGGTAGAACTTAAGTGTTACGATTCAGTGATTTTTGACAAACACACCTATCCCTATGTAATCCATATCCCCATCAAGACTAGCATGTCTTCATCACCCCAAGGCAACCATTTTATTCATTTCTGTCACCATAAATTAGTTTTTCTAATCTTTTCTAAAATCTCATGTAAGGGAAATCATATTATCTATTCTTTTGCGTCTGTTTTTTTTCCTCAGTATTATGTTTTCATCCTTATTGTTACATGTGTCAGTAGTTTATTCTTTTTTATTGCTGAATTGTATTCTATTAAATGAATATATCATAATTTTTAAATTCATTCTTCTATTGATGGACATTTGCGTAGTTTCTTGTTTGGGGCTATTATAAATGAAATCACTCTGAATATTGTGTCTGTGAGCATATTTTTTCATATTTTGAGTAAGTACGAAGGAGTAGAATTGGTGATTCGTTGGGTTCAGCTGTTTAACTTTATAAAAAGTGATTTCACGATTATACACTTCCAACAGCAATGTGGGAGTATTCTGGTTGCTTCACATCTTCACAAACACTTGACGGTATTGGGGATTTTTGGTTCTGGCTATTCCTGTGAGTGTTTAGTGGTATCCTTGTGCCTTTAACTTGTGTTGGGGAGGATGAAATTTCTGTCCTTCAGCATCCTTCTAGCTGGTCCAAGAATCAGATTGACGTGAGACAGAGTTAACAGGAGAAAATCAAATGTAATTTCATACATATGGAGAATCCACACAGACGTGAAATTTCAAAGACAGCATGAGACTGACATGATATACTGACCTAAGGAAAGCGGCAGGGGTCTGGAGATGGTTGGAAAACCAAGGCTGCCCTGTTATGCAGATAAGTTTCTTAAGTAAAGAGGAATCTGCTAATTGCTCTCTTCCTGGGACAGGCTTTCTTTTCCAATGTAAATTTAGACAATCAAGGGGAGGGTAAAGAATTTTTCCTGAATCTGCTGGGTTTTGATTGTTTTTCACTCAAAATAATCTTCCTATCCCAAGTGGTCCATCTTGGTGTGGCCTACCTTTGACCGCTACACTTCCCTGATGACTAATGATGTTGAACATTTTTTAATATAATTCTTGGCCATTGCTATCTCCTTCATTGTAAAATCTTTTCATATCTTCAATACATTTTTTTAAAAGTTGGTTAATGTTCAGGTCTCGTGGGTGGCTCAGTCAGTTAAGCCTCTGACTTTGACTCAGGTCATGATCTCATGGTCTGTGCGTTTGAGCCCCACATCCGGCTCTGTGCTGAAAGCTCAGAGCCTGGGGCCTGCTTCAGATTCTGTGTCTCCTCTCTCTCTGACCCTTCCCCACTCGTGCTGTGTCTCTCCTTCTCAAAAATAAACATTAAAAAATTTTTTTTAAGTCAGTTAATGTTCGTTATGCTGAATTGTAAGCATTCATTATATATTCTCAAAAACATTTCATTGTACATATGCATTATGAATATTTCCCCCCAGACTGTGGCTTGCCCATTTCTTTTCTTAATGATGTCTTTGAAGAGCAGATTCTTACATTCATGAAATCCAGTTGTTATGCCCGAATCGCGAATCCCAGAGACCTCCAAGGAGCCGGCACCTATGCAAATACAAAAGGGTCTTTATTACAAACTCGAGCAGGGGCTCACCTGCCTATTGGTGTCGGCAGCAAGGTGAAACCCTGAACAATAGTGATCAGGGTTTTTATGGGGTAAGGGATGGGGATGTTACAGTGCACACGTTGTACGTATAGCATCATCACATAAGCACCAGTCATAATTGTACAGGACCCATGGTAACAGTTTTGACCATTCAGTATCTGTGAGGCGCCCGTTCATGACCTTTGAGAATCCTTTGAAAATGACCAATTATGAGGTGAGTTCAAAGGGCCCACGTGGGGTTTTAGGCAAGAATCCTCAGTCCCTGACTCAGACCACAGGACCACAGGAATGTTACACATTTCTTTTGATTGCCAGGGTCCTGAGGGTGGCTTCAGCTGAACGTTTTCCTGGAACTGGGGCTACACGCAGCCCAAAGTTGCTCTTAATGGAGGCCTTAATTTCAGGCTCCTTATAGTGTATCTGTTTTCTTTCTTTTATAGATAGTGCTTTTGGTGTCTTAAGAAATCTTTGTTTACTTCCAAGGTCATGAAGATATTCCCCTGTGTTTTTTTATACCCTTTACTTTTGATTTTATGTTTACATTTATACATCTTGGACTTAGTTTTTGTATATGGTATAAGGTACAGTTGAGAGTCCTTGTTTTCCCTTGCGATAATATGGCAGTTCAAAAACCATTTCTTGAAAAAACATTATTTTCTCTTTTATATTATTTTGGCAGCTTTGTTGAAAATCATTGGACCTTTAAGGTGTGGGTCTATTTTTGTACCCTCTTTTGTTCCAATGATCTGTTTATTTTTTCTTATGCTAATACTTATATTGTCTGAATTACTGTGCCTTTATATTAAAGCTTGAAATCAGATAATGTAAGTCTTCCAATTTTAGTACTCTTTTTCAAGATTGTTTTGGCAATTCTAGGTCCTTTGCATGTCCAAATAAATTTTTGCTTTTCAATTTCTATTGAAAAGGATTTTGATTAAGATCATACTGAATCTGTAAACCAATTAGGAAATTCACATCTTAAACAACTTTGAGTCTTCTAATCTGGAAGCAGGCTGTATCTCTCCATTTACTTAGGTCTTTATTTTCATGTTTTGTATAGTTTTTAGTGTAGAGGCCTTATACATTTTTGTTAGGAATAAATTTTAGAGTTTTATGAGTTTTGATGCTATTGTAAAATGTATGTTATTTTTCCAATTGTTGATTGACAGCATACAGATACAATTGACTTTTGTGTATTGAGCAGTTTTTTATGATCATGAGTAAGTTAATTTTATAGAATACATATTCAGTGTTTATTGAAGTTATGTCCTTTTTCCTGTACTTTTATTAATCTAGTGAATTACATTGTTTAGATGAATTTAAGTCTACTATCTTGCTCTTTCTGTCATCTTGCTGTTTATTTTCTATTTGTCCTGTCTGTTCCTTGTTTCTTTTTTATTCCTTCCTTGGATTCTAGCCAATTAATTAATTTTTTATTATTCTATTTTAAGCTTTTTAGCTACCATTCTTTGTTCCTGCCTCTGCCTTTTTTTTTTTTTTTTGATCAATCAGGTGCTTTTTAGAATTCCATTATTTTTTCTCTTCTGGCTTTTTAGCTCTACCCCTCCATTATTTTCTGTTGCTCCTGTTCCACAGAAATATCTGAACCACATATATGATTTTAAATTTTCTGGCAAGCACATTAAAATAGTAAAACAAAACAAAATGATTTTATAGCCAATTTTAATATATTTTATATAATCTATATCTAAAATATTATCTTAACTTGTAATCAATATAAAGAAATGGTTAATGAGATATTCTATATTCTTTTTTTGATACTGAGTCTTTGAAAACTAGTATTTTACACTTCCAGTACATTTCAGGTTGAAATAGCTACATTGCAAGTGCTGGGTGGCCTCATATCTAGTGGCTGCCATATTGGACAATGCAGCTGTAAAGATTACAATACGCACTGTGAACATACAAGGTCAGTCTCACATGACACTTACTATAGTTACCTCAGAGTGGTGTGTAATAGAAAAAGGTGATGGCAGTATCCTAGAAGCCTTTGAAGCTTATGTTTGGAAAATTATTTAAAAGCAAAAAATAAAAGTTTTGGGGAGAAAAACAGGCTAAATTTTGTCACTATAATAAATATTTTCCTCTCGAAATAATTGCTCTTTTAAAGATGTTTTCAATCTTTTCTTCTAGACAAACTTGGCCCTACAGTGTTTGCTCCTGTTAAAATGGATCTTGTTGGAAATATTAAGGTGAATATACAAGCTTGTCTCTACAGAGACCATATATTTGGAGGGAGTAGTGCATGAAATCTCATTCAGAAACACGTGATTGTTGAGTTTTATACTCAGGATGTAAAGTATAAGCCAGCTGTAAGAAAAGTTCTGAGGCAGAAAAGAAATACTTCAGAAACAGTATTTTTAAAACCTTGAGACTATTTAATTCTAGCTTAAGCCTCATAAGAATTCTCAACAGAGGAGTGCCTAGGTGTCTCAGTGGGTTGAGCATATGACTCTTGATTTCAGTTTAGGTCATGATCCCAGGATCATGGGTTCGAGCCCTACATCAGACTCTGCACTAAGTGTGGAACCTGCTTAAGATTACTCTCTCTCAGGGCGCCTGGACAGCTCATTCGGTTAGGTATCTTACTACTGGTTTCAGCTCAGGTTATGATCTCATGGTTGATGGGTTCAAGCCCCACATTAGACTCTGCACTGAGAGTATGGAGCCTGCTTGGGATTCCCTATCTCCCTCTCTCTGCCCCTCTCCTGCTTCCTCTCTCTCTTCTTCAAAATAAATAAATATATTTTTAAAAAGGATTCGTTCTCTCTTTCTCTCCGCCCCTCTCCCCTCATTCTTTCTCTAACATAAAAAAATAAAAAAGATAATATAATATTATACATTATAAAGTAATATTTATATATTATTATATATCATTATATATAGTAATAAACTTATTATTAGATATTATATTTATCATTTATTTATATAATATATAGTAATAAAGTAAAGTAATAAAAATAAAAGAAAAAATTTTAAATAAAAGTTTTAAAACAATTTTTCAATTTTCACATTACCTTGAAAACATAAGGAAAAAGGTAATAGAGGCTTAGTTTGATTTCTTAGAGGCCTGTTTGACAAGTTTGAGTCTCAGTATTATACTGATTTACTGGATAGCTTTAGCATTTTTTTCTTAGATTGTTTCCCTGTTCTTCCTGCAGAAAGTAAATCAGAAGTATATAACCAACAAGGAAGAGTTCACCACCCTCCAGAAGATCGTGCTGCATGAAGTGGAGGCAGACGTAGCCCAGGTTAGGAACTCAGCTACAGAAGCCCTCTTGTGGCTGAAGAGGTGAGGCAGCTGGAATGGGGCAGTAGTTGAAATGCTACCAGCAAAAACAGTGCCATGCAAAGATGACTTCTGAGGGGAGGATCTAACCCAAAGCCTTTTCTAGAAGGCCTGATGAATAGAAAGGACACCAACTCTTTTTTTCCCCCCTCCCTTCTGATGATGACGAACATTGTTAATATTAACAGTATATATAAGATATGGATATTCCAGGATGATAGACCTAACTGGTTCTCTCTAAGTCAGTGGTTCACAAACTTTGGTAGCATCCAAGTCACGTGGAGGGCTTTCTTAAAAATACGGACTGCTCTACTCCAAACTCAGACTTTCTGACTCAGTAAGCCTAGAGTGGGGGCCCAGAACTAGCATTTCCAACAAATTCCCAGGTGGTACTGAAGCCACTGGTCCTGGGACCACATTTTGGAAGCCACTGTTTACTTATATCAGATGATAAGGGTCTAGAACAAACTAAAGGGAAATGACAGGGTAGAAAATCAGAAAGGATTGCCATGTACTTGACCTCTCTGTTGCCATGTCCAAGATATTATTGAAGAAGCTGATATCTGACATTTCTTTATACCCATTCAACATAGTAGACTTTGAAAATAATATTTCTTCCTCTCTTTTGTTTTAGAGGTCTCAAATTTTTGAAGGGATTTTTGACAGAAGTGAAAAATGGAGAAAAGGATATCCAGACAGCCTTGAGTAAGTGTTCTTAAATTTTGATCCACTGAATAGGATTGGAATGGAGGCCCCTAGAGGAGGAGGCTGGGTGTCGGGGAAATTTCCACTTTTCCAAATTTCGTTTGATTTCTTTTCTATTTCATTATTATTGTTTGTTTTTTATATGCTCTTTTAAAAAAACCCATGAGATAGTGTGACCTGGTAATCTAGATCTAGCTTATTAAAAATCATTATGTCTTAAAGAAGAGCTAAATTAATGGAGAGCCATCTCTCAATAGGAAAGCCTAATATTTTCAAGAAGTGAGTTCTTCCTAAATCAGTCTTCAACTAGAGTGCAGTTCTATAGAAGTAGTAAGTATCCCAAGAGAAGCTAGTTTTGGAGACCATAACAGAGAGGGATTGGAGAACCCTGGGAATTTGGTCTAGAGCAAGATGAGAGATGGGTCGTCATCATCATCACCATCTTGTAGTCCTCAGATGCCTCATGTTTATAGTGGTAGACCTGACACTAAGATGAAGGCCTTGGTCAAAGGAGATCACCCTGTGTCTCCAGCATCTTAATGCACTGGCTGGAATATTGTAGGTGCCTAGTAAACATTGGGTGGGTGGGTAGATAGGTGGTGGATCTATCAGATTAGTTTTGGAAAACACTAAAGACTCTGAAGCATCCTTATAGTATTCTTGACAGAGTGGCTGAGCTCTCACTCTTAGCCTAAAGGAAGTTCTCCCAGCATGGGCCTTGAGGCATGATGGGTGGGAGTGGGGATTGAAATTACATATTAATTTGAAGCTCTATATTATTTTGATGTAGAGGAGTATGTTACCAAGCTCTAAGTAGCCATGATTATAAGTAATGAAATGAATGAATTAGATGCTTCTGTCTGGGAAAGGGAGCCACTATTCACTGCAGCATTTTGTCAGTATCAGGAGTGAGCTCTTCCTTCTATTAATCTTCCCTCTGGGCCATAAGTCCTGAGGGATTCTAGCCCCTATGAGACATTTTTTTTTTTTTTTTACAAATAGTTTATTGTCAAGTTGGTTTCCATATAACACTCAGTGCTCATCTCCACAAGTGCCCTCCTCCATGCCCATCTCCCCCCTCCCCCCCACACCCATCAGTCCTTTCTTAGGCCTTTCTATCTAGAAACTTGCTAATGTGCCATGAAACCAAAAAAAAAAGCTGTTTTTTTCATAATACTTTATGAAGAATTTAGACAACTTAATCCTTATAGCAGTCCATTTTTACAGGTTAGGCAACCAAAATTCTCAAAAATTAAAATACATACTATAGCCACAAAAGATCTGGAAGCAGAATCACTTTGGGTCCCCTGCATCAAAAGTCTTCATTTCTCCCACAAAAGGTCTTCTCTACCAACCCTGGGCTACCTGCATTTTTATCTTAGATTGTTTCCCTGCTCTTCCTGCAGAAAGTATATCAGAAGTATATAACCAGCAAGGAGGAGTTCGCCACCCTCCTCTCATATATCCCTGAATTCTATGGCAGTCTGTTATATTCTCCCCTGTGTGTCCTGATTTCAGTACTAAAAATATATTCACCATAACAATTCATGCTCCCAATCAATATCTATCAAACTTTATGACTTTTGGAATGATTAAGATCTTGGGCTCTCTGGATCCTAACACTTGATAGCAGCACTTTGGCAATTTATTAACCTTTCTGTTTCTTGGTTTCCTCATCTGTAAAATGGGAATGATGATACCATTAACCTAAAAACATTGTTGTAATGATTAAATAGGTTCTTGCATACAAAAAGATTAGAAAAGTGGTACATAATAAACACTTAATAGAGAATAGCTTCTCTTGTTTATATTTTCATCATCATGACATGAAGTTGATAACCTGCCAGAAAATGGGGCTTATTTGTCCCAAATCAGAAACGAAAAGTTTACAAAGCTCTGGTGCCAAGCCAGAAATGGCTCTCTACACTAAATTCTTAGCGTGGAAAAAATGTCACACTGGGAGGTAGGTTCCTCCACTGCCATGGGATTCAGCAGTGTTCCTGGTGGGCTCTGCCTGTCACACGATGCTGTCACTTCGTTATGGCTGTCTGTGTGAGAGGCCAGGGCAGTGCTAACCTCCTTCAGCCCTCTGCTGGAGGCCTGAGAGAACCCAGCTGCTTACAGGACACACAAGTGAAGAAGAGGAGCTGGGCCCCCTGGAGGTAGGGAGGAAGTCAAGAATATCCCCTTTCTGCTCTATCTCTGCCCCGAAATCTGCCCTTTTTCTCCGCTACTTTTTATTTGAGTTGGACTCTGGGCTCTCCCGAAGAGAGGGGAGCAATGTTGCTTCAAAACCAAAATAAGCTTTTCCTTCCCTCTCTTCCCCTTCAGCACTGTTTTCAATGGGAAGGAAAAGAGGGCTGTAAATTTGAGATTTTCGTTCTGGTGTTCAAGATTATTTCAGAAGTTTTCATGATTTAAGTAATATCTTTGCCTGTAGGGATTCCCTAGTTTCCTGCTGCTGTTCAGTGTGAAGAGAAAGTTCCCCTAAGCAACCCACCCTCCCCTCCAGATGCAGATGCAGCAAGCTCTGTGCACACAGAGTGTTACAACAAGTGTTCACACATTAACTGCTTCGATCCAATAGGGTCCTTGATGCGGATTTCTTCTTGGTTAACAGCTTCTCTTCTCATTTTGAAAGCATTGCCATTATAAGTAGAACTGATATCTTGCCTGAAATTTAGGAACATAGGTAAGAGAGGGTATATGCCTGTATTTATATAAGCAAATTAGCTTCCATGTTTTAAGTTCTAAAATTGAATTTGAGTGATTGTAGTAACAGTTACTATTTATAGAGCACACTGTGTAGGAATGACACCAGGATCTTGATAAACATTTCATTTAATCTTCCAAATACTCCTTTTTTTATGGTGAGTAAACTGAGGTCTAGAGAAGACAAGTACCTTCTCTAAGGTCTCAAACCTACATCAGTGGTTTTCAAAGTGGTCCAAGGAGGGCATCTTCATCACCTGCAAGCCTATTGGAAATGCGGACTGCCAGGCCCCACCCAGCACCTGCTGACAAAACCCCAGGGGTGGGGCACAGCAGTCCATGTTAGCAGTTCCTCCTCCTAATCCATGTTCAAGTTTGGGACCCTCTCATCTAGAGCGAGGACATTGAAGGTACCTGTCACTAGGCTACATTTTGATTATTTGGGAATTCTGATTGCATCTGAGTGATTAATAAATATACTGAGATAAAAGTGCTGAGATTTTGCCATAGCACTAATCAGTTAATTTTGCCTCCTTTTCATGATAATTAGCTAGTTGTCCAAAGACAGGAAATTTTTCTTGATCTAGGAACAGCAAGATAATAGGGATAAATTAAGGATAAATCTTAACTAGTACTAGCAAATTTGAAAACATTCCTAAGAAAGGTTTTGAGGTAACTGTTCATAAAACTTATATGATCTTAGTAGTCTTAAAAATGGGGGGTGATAGGGGCATCTGGGTGGCTCAGTCGGTTAAGCGTCTGACTTCGGCTCAGGTCATGATCTCACGGTTTGTGAGTTCGAGCCCCGTATCAGGCTCTGTGCTGACAGCAGAGCCTGGAGCCTGCTTCATATTTTGTGTTTCCATCTGTCTCTGCCCCTCCCCTCCTTGCACTCTGTCTCTGTCTCTCTCAAAAATAAATAAATATAAAAAAAAAAAAAGGGAGGTGATACAGGGGCGCCTGGGTGGCTCACTCAGTTGGGCGTCCAATTTCAGTTCACATGATGATCTCACAGCTTGTGAGTTTGAGCCCTGTGTCTGGCTCCATGCTGATAGCTCAGAGCCTGGAGCCTGCCTCAGATTCTGTCTCCCTTGCTCTCTGCAGCTCCCCCACTCATGCTCCGTCTCTCTCTCTCTCTTTCTCTCTCAAAAATAAACATTAAAAAAAATTTTTAAGGGGGGGTGATATATATATAATCCTAAATGACACAATGGAAGCCTTGACATGTGTTAACTGTCTGGAGGATGTAGGTGTAGTCATTGTGTTGCTGAAGTTCTGCGACCTGGAATGAGAATCCAGCGTCTGGAAGGAGGCCTTAGGCTTCACTTTGCCCCGTTTTGCATTTGAACCCTTACCTGGATTTCCTATCATGATGATCAGAGTGGATTGTTTTGGGTAGTCTCAATGTCAAGAGCTGCTCTTGAACCCATAGATGTCTAGGGCATTCTCTAGAGTTCATTCTAAGGGAAGAGTTAGGGCCACAAGGCAGGTATGTTGAATGATCCACCCATAGCTGAGCCCCTCCATTTGCAGATGCCACATCAAAATAGGCTTTTGGAAAGCCTTCTTGTAAGTAGAAGGCAGAAAAGTTGCTCTGGCATTTCATGCACCATTATGCTAAATGTTGCCTGCTCTGCGCTTTCCCCTAAGCAGGATAGCAGATTGCTGCATCCCTCACCTCAGAATGTTTCCGTAAGCGTCAGGTAGAACATGACCCAACCCAGATCTCTAGCACAGAATAAAAATTTTAACAGGGCATTCAGTTATATATTTAATATGAAAGGCTTCCACAGACAAGAAGAGCTGTGTTGTGAGAGCTAAAGTCAGAACTCACATCTGATATTTAGCATCAAATCATAACTTGACTAGTTATTCTGAAAATACCATGGAGTAGTAATTAAGTCCTGCCCTCCCAAACTACTCACAGCATGTGCCTGTCTTGAATGCCAGGTTTGGCTTACAAAACGTGTGTTTGTCTTCATAATGCCTAGAGCTAACAAAGGGTGACTCAAGGGACTTGTTTCACTTCTGTCATTGGTTATTGGTTTGGCTTTTCTTCATACATTCATTTTGCCTGATGCTTACTCACTATAAAAAATAAAAATAAAAAATAAATAAAATGGCATTTTCCAAAAATTAAAAAAAAAAAAAATTCAGTACTTCCTTAGTAGCTCAGTTTTTTGTTGTTGATTTTTTGTTTTATTATAAATATTTCGGACATTTAACAAATATCCACCATTTGACCAAATATATAAAATAGCTCAATTCTGTACCCATGTACCCCCTGA